ATGCGAAGTGAACGCAAGTCGTTTCCTGTTCCTCACGTGAGTTGAGCGCTCGGTGCATCGCGGCCAAGACGGTCGGGCAAGCTTGCATGCGTCGCCAGGTCTGCATCGGAGGACCCTCAAGCGCCCGACGCTGGGGTCCGTCCCGAGTGCGCGCTTGAAGGCAATCAAGTGCGACGAGGCCGCGCTGCTGCCCCAAGTGCTCTGCGCGTCGCTCGAGCAGGTACGAGAAGGCGGCGTGCCGCGCCGATCCAGATGCGCCCGCGACCCGCTTTTGCTATCGAGAGTCCGTGCGTGGCGGTCACGCTTCGGTGCCAACGTTATCGGGCACCCATGGGCCTTCGAAATCACGTACGACTTCAAGGGCGAGATCAAGTACTACACGGAGCACGTCGTCGCAAAGGGCTACACGCAGGCAATTGTTATCGCCTGCACAAAGACTTCCTCTCTGGCCATTCGCCAGCCATCGCGTCATCACTTAGATGCCGAGTTTGCAACGGCGACCGAAGATGCAAATGCTGCAGTCTGGTCGGATGTGGAACGAGGCGCTCTGCGACCTCGCCGTCGCCCGTCGACCTGTGCCACGACTTCTTGGCCGTGTCCCGCTTCTATATCCGCCTTGCATCGATGCAAGCAGCCGTCTACATGTACGAGTGTGTACTGCGTGGTGTCCAACCGACCCTTATTTTGTTTATGGGTCGTCGGATCGGGCGAGGCGCGTGGCTTGATCCAAGAGTTTCTGAAGCGACGCGGCGAGCTCGACCGCCGTCGGGCGCAAATTCGGGTCAGCGTCCACGCAACGGTCGACAAGGTCTTGAAGCCACCCCTCGCAGTTGTCGCGCAGCGCTGGGCGGTAGCCGCCATCAACGACCGCAATCGTCAGCGCGACTTCGTCGTCGAACGCGTCGTCTTCATACGGCTGCTTGAACGTATCAAACTCGGTCATAAGAATGCCAAACGCGTAAATGTCCGACGCGAACGACGGCGGCGCGTCGCCTGCGAGCACTTCGGGGGCCGTCCACTCGAGCAGCGCATCGTCGGTCGCCGACGTCCCGGGCACACCGACCTGGACCTTCGAGGCCGGGCTGAAGAAGACATTGTGGCTCGAGAGATACCCGTGGACGAGGCCGTGGGCATGGACATCCACGAGCGCTCTGGCCACACCGTGGCCGAAAACCATCTCGATCAACGGGCCGGGAAGCATGTCCTTGCTCTCCGCCATCAACTGCCGGAGACCGCGAAAGGTTCCTCTCACGAGAAGACTCTTGGGCAAGATGGCGGCCACAATCGGCACAAGATACGGCGAGGTGCATCTAGTATGAAAGAGCGATCGATACATCCAATGCATGCATGTATGTGATCTTCGCACCGTGCGATGGCGTCGAGATCTTCGTCGTCGCCAATGAGACGATGTGTGACGATGTCTCCATGCATCGAAAATGAAGCGCCAGGCGCCGGGACCGGTGACACCTACCCATCTAGTGTGTGTCGGGTGTCTGCGAAGTGTTCTTACCCCAAGGACGGGGTGGACCAGGTTCGCGAGCAAGTCGCGGGCTAAAGCGGCAGGGTCGATCGCCTCTGCACTGGTCAACGTTGATTGATCCCTCTAATACAACGTCACGTCGTGCTGCCGCAAGCACATGGAGCGAACCGCTGGGCATGGCATCGCATGGGGGCGTGGCACGAGCAGTTCTGAGCACACAAACCTATCTACCGGCGAATTGTGGACCTTCAATGGCTCCCAGTTGTCGGTCGAGGCCACCGTCCCGGACGGTGGGCTGGGTGGCGGGGCGCGGGTGGCCGCGAGCCAGCGTACGATGCTGCGCGGGATCGCACGTACATCTTCTTTCGCGATCTAGAACGCAACGGCTAAGCGTGCCACGTCGTGCAGTCTTACGAGCTGGGATGCCGTCGACTTGAGAGCCATCTTCAAGCGCACATGCAGCATCTTGAGCTCACTCTCGTCTTCTCGCATATAAGCGCACTGGGGGCAGACGATGTCCATGATGGTCATTGTCGACTCATGGCACGCAGCGCAGGTCCGCGCCCAGTGGACGGGGTAGCCGCGATGGTGCAGTCGCATGAGGCGCCGGATCACGGCGGCCACGCGGTCTTGCGTCGATGCGTGAGACCCACACGAGCAATCGGCCTCGATAGGGTGCCAGTTGCCACATCCGTCGACACAGAAAATCTCGGGCAAGGACGCGATCTCTTTCTACGGCAACGGATACAAGCAAACGGTAATAGCACCAGTGCAGCATACCCGTGACGCAGCGATCGTGAGCAGGGACATGTGACATGTCAGAAAACGACCGAGTCGGTCCGTGTCGGGGGTTGTCGCTCCATCCTATGCACACATCGTCGCGCTGTCAATGCAAACGTTTCGAGTCTACCGCCGTCGGAATGGCAACGTTGGCCCCTGTCGCTAGAAGCGGCTTGATGCACGGCCCGTTGCACAGCTGCAAGGCGCAATCCAACGGCGTCTTGCCCATCTACGCCGTCAATCAATAGGTTACTCGGTAGAGACCTTGGCCGTATACGTGATCACGTGCATCAACGTCCGCGCCCGCGTCGATGAGTATGCGCAGAACGTGCGAAGAGCGTCTGGCCACCGCTTCGTGGAGCGGCGTCATGCCACCCTATCGCCGGGCTGTGGGTTCCCGTGCAAATAAAGCGCGCAGTAGGATCGTGCGTACACTCTGGACGTTGACGCTTGCGCCGCGATCAACGAGAAGCTGCACCGTGTTGGGCGCACCAGCAGCGATGGCCGCCGACAGCAGTGACACGCCGCCCTACAAAACCGGCTGGAGAGGTGGTCGCCAACATTCAGATACCGGAAGCGCCCCATCCACATGGAGGCCGCTGGTTAGCATGTGTGCCGCCGCGTCGACATCGTCAATTGCCGCGATACGCATAAAGACCTCCGTCGTCTAATCAAAAGTGTGGTGCACAATGTATGTCATGTGACAGCCAACGTACGCTCATGCCGGGCACTGCGACAGCCGTCACCTCGCGACGCAGCGTCTCGAGAACCTGGTCGGCGGTCGGCCGCGCCGCTGGATCACTGCGCAGACACATCTCCACCAGCGTGCGCAGCCATGGCTCGCTGTCGTCTGTGAGCGTCGGGCGAAGCGTGCCGTTGATGACACCGCGGGTAAACGCAATTCGATCTTGAACGTCCTGGTCAAAGTACGGCACTTGACACGTGTTTAGCTCCGTGAGGAGGACGCCAAACGCGTAAATGTCAGCGGGACAGCCGTACATCGTGCCTTGCGCTTGCAGGATCTCGGGCGCCATCCAGAACCGGGTACCAGGTGCTTCGGTCATGTCGGTGGCCTCGAGCCGTGCGAGTCCGAGGTCGGCGAGCTTGACCTCGCCACTTGAGCTCAGAAGGACGTTGTCGCTCTTGATGTCGCGGTGCACGAGCTCCTTGGCGTGCAGATCTCGCAAGGCGTTGGCAATGACCCAGGCCACGTGGAGGTTGGTCACGTTCACCTGTGTGCGCTCGTTCATGCGCTTCTTCTCGAGGTGCGTCCGAAGACTGCCGCCATCCATGTACTCGAAGAGCAGTGCTGGTGTGTCCGAGTGGCGACCTGCGATGGCCACAAGCTGCACGAGGTATGGCGACGGGCACCTACGATATCCGAGATAAAAAAGTGCGATCCATCATGCAGTGGTACGCGAGGAGGGCTTCGGCTTCGGCGTGGAACGACTTGCGATGCTCTGCGTTCTTGAGTATCTTGACCGCGACCTTTTGGTCCATGTAGAAACCAAGGAGCACGACACCAAAGCCGCCGACACCGAGTTGTGTCGTCGTCACCTCGTAGTCGGTCGCTGCAATCTACGTGCACGCGTCAAGCTCGCCGAGACTCGATGTCTCGTCAACCTCGACGACGCGAGGCTGCACGCGATCAAAGAGCTTCTTGGCCATCGATGTGCACCCAAACTCGATCGCCAAGGCCAGTGGCGTCTTGTGCTCCTAGAACGCAAGCCTTGTTGCGGTACGAGGCAAGTCCGACGCACGTGGTTTTGCGTTCCGAGAAGGACTCGAGGCGTTGCGAGGAGCAGGTCCAGCATGGTCTCGTTGCGCGTAAGAACCGCCCAATGAACGAGCGAGCACCCGACCTATGCTTGAAGCATCGATGGTGTGTTGGCGATCGATGGTCTGTACCTCGTCCGAAAAGTTGCAGCTAAAAGGGTGCTGAAGAAGCGCGGCGAAGCGTTGCTCGTCTCGGAGAACCACCGCGATAAGCAATTTCGTTGCCTACACAGCACGGATGCTATCGAGTGCAGCGGCGCGACAAGGTAATTACGTGGGCGTGGGCCGCGCCGATCAACGCGATCACCTCGGGGTTTCCCTGACGCGTAGCTAGGTCCATGGCACTTTGCCCGCTCTACAACAACAACACACATTTGTCAGAGTCACCGAGGGACATGGGCTGGCACCATTTTCTCTCGAACGTCAAAGTCGACGCCGGCCTGGAGAAGTGTCTGAACGATGTCGACGCTGCCTTTGGTAGCCGCCAGGTGCAGAAGGGTCACGCCACCCTACTCCCATTCATGATGCGCCATGAGCGTGGAATGATGTAGTACACTATAGCGTTGGTTGAAATCAATATCGGGCGATGCCATGAGCGCTGCGACAACGTCGGCGTGGTCGGCCAAAATCGAAATGAACAAGGGGCAATGTCCGTTCTAAACACCAGACGAAGCGATCCCATTGTTGTACGGTCAAGGGGGTGCATACGCATTTCGCGTTGACGTCAGCACCACGCGCAAGAAGGGCCAGCACCACGTCAAGGGCACCGCTTTCACAAGCGAGGTGCAGTGGGTTCTGTTCGTTCTATATCAAGGACATGAGTGCAGGGTTTATACGCAAGACGCAACCGTGACGGCGTGAATATCAGCACCAGCCTCGATAAGAAGTGCGGCGATGTCTCCGCGCCCGGTCTGAATCGCGAGATGCAGCACCGTGTCGCCGTACTACGACATCTACATGTTGAAACCATGCAATGAGCATAGCTGCCAGTACCTGATTGCGCTCGGAAGTACAGACACCGCGCTCGAGGAGGAAGGCTACGATGTCGTTGTGACCGAGTAGCACTGCCATATGCAGCGGCCGACGCGTATTCTGGTGCATGCTTTACGTTGCTGTGCCGTGCGAGCTATGTACGTACATGGTCAGCGGCTTCGAGGTCGGCGCCAGCGTCGGCAAGAGCAACCACATGCGCCATGCGCCCGTGAAGAACCGCGTCGTGCAGCGGCGTGTGTGCGATCTGCATATGACGGTGTGAGTGTCATCGACCTCGCAGGTTGGCGATACGCACTTCCGACAGCGCATCCACGTCGATATCTTGGACGGAAAGTAACTTTTTGAGCATCGCGATCGAGCCGCGTTTGGCCGCCACATGCAGCGCCGTCGAGCCGTTCTACAGCGACACTCAAAGCGCGGGCGTAAAAGACGCACGTACGTTGACGTTGACATTCGCCGCGTGCGCGAGCAGCAGGTCCGCGATGCTGTCGTGCTTCAACAGCACAGCTGTCTTCAGAGGCGTCATCGTGTTCTATAGGACGATGCATCCGGTGTCGCATGCAATGTCGCCAAATGTAGTACGTCGCTCGCGCTGTCGGGGTGGACTCCGCTTGCCAGCAACATGCGGACATCGTCGACGTTGCCGGCCTCCACGGCCACGTGCAGCTGCTCGTCTGGCTACGGATTTCATGAGAGCGTCGCGCAAGAGGGTCGATGCAGTACAGTGAGGCATCGCTGCGCCCGTCCGACTTTCTACACAAGAAACGACCCGTTAGCTTTCGCACGGAAGGACGATGGAGGCTGCAACAGAGGGGATGATGGTCGGCGCTGCGGGCCTCGAGGCGCTTTCGGGTGGCGCAAGCACGGAGATGGCCTCGATGACTTGCAGCCCTGCCTATTTGATGGTCGTATCTGATGACATGTGCAGAGGCAAGCTGTACCGATCGATCCTTCTCAAAAGCCACCATCGACGGCACGAGGTGGGGGTGCCTGCACAGTGTGGTTAAAGACGCGCAACAAACCAAAGACGTACGACTGCAACTTGGGTCGCAACATGTCGACGAGCTTGGCTGCCGTCGGACGGCGCGTTGGATCGATCGCCGTGCATTTCGCTGCGAGGGCTTGGGCCCACTCGGCGCTTGCATCCAAAGGGTTAGGGTACAGCGTCTGGAGGAGAACCCCAAACGAGTAAATGTCGGCGGGCGTGCCGTAGCCGCTTCCGGACGTCAGCACTTCCGGCGCTCGCCACTTGCTCGTGCCAGCACCCGTCGTCATGTTCGTTGACTCTTCTTTGGCGATGCCCACGTCGCCCACTTTGATGTAGTGCTTGGAAGAGAGGAGGATGTTGTCGGGCTTGATGTCGCGATGAACGACGTTCTTGGCGTGGAGGTCGTTTAAAGCGTTGGCGACGACCCAGATCATTTCAATGGGAGCGTACACCACAGGCACGGGTTCGTCGTTGGCGATCTTCTCAAGGTACGAAGTGAGGTTGCCGCCGTCCATGTACTCGAAAAAGAGCTGCGGCGCGTTCGACTCGGCCTCGGCGGTGGCAAGCAGCCGCACAAGGTACGGCGACGGGTTGCTATTCAACGGTGCATGAGCTGCCTTCGGATACTAGCAACCATCCTACTCTTTGAGGACTTGGATCTCGTAGCGAAGGTTCTCGGCAGCCTTGCGGCTCGAGTTCAAGACAGTCTTGATCGCTACGTCTCGACCAAAGAGCTTGTCCTTGAAGACGATGCCATAGCTGCCACGGCCGAGCACTTGGAGATGCGCCGTCGAGCGCTGAGACACCTACGGGCACAAGCCGCTGCCTCTTGGATGTCTGCGGTACGGGGCGTACCTGAGCCGCTTTCGTGGTTTGTGCTGCATGCAGCTCATGGACGAGGGACGGACTAGCCAATTTCGTGGCAATGGCTGTCGGCGACTCGCCAAACTACACGGATATCCGGCGTCAGAGGTGGTGTGCTCCAATGGCACAAAACCTTGTTGACACAGTCGAGATCGATCGTCGGATCCGTCACCAGCGCAGCGACAAGTTCGTTGTGGCGACCGAGAAGCGCCAGGTGCACCAGCGTATTACCGTACTACACCACCGATGAAACGAGCCGAGACTCTCTGGTTGCTACCTCGTCTGTTTCGTTGACACTGAGTCCTTCCGAGAGAAGGGCGCGAACGACGGTTAGGTTACTATGGCGGGTCGCTTGCAGCAGCTCCATTTTCTACGCGAGAGATACTATCGAATCCTATGCGTGTAGCAAGTCGGGGACCTTGGTACGAACGTCCTGAAGCACAGCCAGGACACTTGCATGGCCGTAGCATCGAGCGAAATCGACAGGTGTTGCGCCAGACTAGAGGCGGCATGACAACTTCAATGGGTACCATACACCCGTACACTGGTCGGGACGTCGAGTTTGGCTCGTGCATACGCAAGCTGGCGCACAACCGTTGCATGACCCTTGATGGCGGCCACATGCATTGCCGTGGCCCCTTCCTGCCCACGCATTCGCGATGAGCGGCTTGACAAGCAAGAGATGTTGCGTCGCGTACTACCTCGCTTTCGATCGCATTCACATCGGCCCCCGCCTCGAGCAGCAGCGCAACAATGTCTGCTCGGTCGTTTCCAGCCGCGAAGTACAGGCACGGGATCTGTATCAAGTGTGAGCGACGGCCGTATAGAGAAAGCGTCGTACATCCGCGACGCGGTTGACGTTGGCCCCCATCTCTAGCAAGGCGGCGACGGAGGTGGCACAACCACGGCGACAAGCAATGTCCAGTGCCGAGACACCACCAGCCTACAAAGCAAATAGGATCGCGATCTGCTTACGTAGAAATCCAAATGGACCGATATCGTTGTGTTTGGGTCGACGCCATTGAGCACGAGAAAGCGAATCATGTCCACATGACCTTCATGCGCTGCACAATGGATGGCCCCTTGACCATACTAGAGGAGCACATTTGATGTCAAGTCTATACTCTTCCATACCTTGTCAAAGCGCTCAAGGTGGGCACCCGCGGCCAAGAGTCGCGCGGCAATCGCGACATTTCCATGGGCTGCGGCCGCCACGATTGGCGGCTGCCCGTTCTAGTGGAGAAGTGTAGGACGCGCCACCACACCTCAAACGGTACTTGGTTGTTGACGTCATTGGCGCCATTGGTACTCACGGCAAGGAGCTCTTCGACCACGTCTTCGTGGCCCAAGCGGGCGCCCGCATGAAGCGCAGTCCCCATCTTGCGCAGGGTATCCATGTGAGTGGCCTTGCAATGTATCGGTGCTGCATACCAGATTGCTCAAGTGGACATCGGCGCCACGCATTAAAAGGAGGCGCACGATGTTGACGTGGCCATGAACAGCGGCCCGTATGAGCGCCGTTGTGCCATCCTATCATTTCTGGATCGCGGATCATCCTGCACAACACGAAGGCCGCACCGCTGTCGACAGGTCGATGTTGGCGCCGGCGTCAAGAAGCAGCTCCACAACGTCGACGTGTCCTTCAATTGCAGCAATGAGCAGCATGTGCCCACCAAACTGCACAGGTTGTTAGTCTGGCGATCGCTCCGTTGGTGAAAATGTACAGTACATACGTTGTTGCGATGGTCAGGGTCGGCGCCATCGTAAAGGAGTGTGGCCACTCGCGCTGCATCGCCGGTCGTCACGGCGTCGACGAGACTCGTCTTGTACGCAGTCGACTGCTCGTGCACCGCCATTCGCTTCTGTCGAGTCGAAACGGCAATGCTGGTCAAGCTAGTCAACACGTCTCTCAACCCCGTGCAATCCATTTATAGAGGTCATCAGCTGCAATCAAATGATCGAATCGAGTTTCCAAGGGTTTTGGTACCCACATGTGATGTTCCACATTGCAGTACGGCAGCGTGACCATCTCCCACGGACCACGATCCCTGCCCATGAGCCCTGCGTAGACTATTATAAAGCAGAGCTGGGAAATGCAATGCCGCTCTAGACCAGCATATGGTCTATGAACGAGCCAAGGCTGTTAGTTTTACCCAAGGATCAATTTGTAGAGGTTCTCACAAATGATAGGATGCATTTTCAGAGGGCATCCGCGGTTTGTGATCCTCCAGCATTGACCATCTTGGCTCCAAGTGTCCATGGGCGAAGACGTGCGATATGTGTCATCGCTCATGGCTGTCTGATGTCGTTTCGCGTAGGCCAAAGCAGTGGCACTCGTCGACGCTGTCCACGCTGGCGATACCACCCGTGTGGCTGCGCTACTCGGTGGCCACGCCGACGCCAATGCCTGCAACCAGGTCTCGTTTTTGCTGCTCAACATCGCGCGATCTTGACACGTGCATGTAGCTTGGTGAGCTACCGCTCTTCGAAGCTGTGCGACGAGGGCGACACGACATGGTGCGCTTGCTCCTGGACGCTGGTGCCAAGCCCGACTTGCCGAGTCGAGTACGGTCGAAGTATCTCGTGTTGCGAAGTGACTGATGTGTGTAGACTGGTGCGACGGCGCTCTTGGCCGCTGCCGATGCAGGCGACGTCGACCTCGTCCGACAGCTAGTGCGGGCCCGCGCAAACGTCAACTTTCGTCATTCGGTACAGCCGCGCATCACGACAGCAGGGTCGAACCATCCGATAGAGTGGCGTAACGGCCATCATCCTTGCTGCGCAACGCGGGAGCGAGGCCTCGGTGGACGTCCTCGTCAATGCTGGCGCCGACGTCCGGTCGCGGACTTGGGTACTGCGATCGACGACTAGCGACCAGAATCATGATTGAAGCAACAGACGGGGGTGACACCAATTCTGGCGGCCGCAGAGCAAGGAAACGTTGCGATCGCGCGCCGCTTGCTTGATGCTGGCGCCAATATCTTGGACGTTGATCAGGTTCGTTCTACTTGACGACTCATCTGACGTTGAGTTGTGTATTTGTAGGATTGCTATGGCGTTCTCCATTTTGCAGCAAAAGAAGGACATGTCGAGATGCTGGATGTCCTCGTCGCATCCCGAGCCCCAGTTGACGCGGTGTCCAAGGTAGACCCGAAACCGCACTCAAATATTTTGCTCATGCACAACAATCCTCTAGACCGGAGCGACGCCGTTGCATTGTGCGTGCGTGACGGGCCACGCGGTGGCAGTTGATGCGCTTTTGACCGAGACGTATCCGTACGCCGACGAGATCACAATGGTCTTTGGGCAGTCCGATACCGTGTGGGCTAACGTTTGAGGCCGGTTTAGGGCTCATGCCTTCTGGCCGCGGCGACTGAAGGCTTCCTTGATGTCGTCAAAAGGCTTCTAGCGCGTGGTGCCAATGTCCACTACGCAGATGCAACGGTGGGGTCCATTACCTTATTGTGCAGTCGACGAGCACTACGTTGAATGAAGTGCGTGTAGACGGGAGCGACGCCGCTCTACGAGGCAGCTGCCAACGGGCACACGGAGGTCGCACGTGAGCTTGTCAGAGCGGGTGCTATGATGCTCGACCGTGCCAAGGTCCTTGATGTCGCGCTCGTTGCTCGCCAATCTCACCGCAAGGCGCGCTATAGGATGGATCTTTGCCTGTGGTCGCGGCCGCCAAAAATGGTCATGCAGACACGGTGCACATGTTGCAAGACTTGCAACGCAAGGTAGATAACACTCGTTTTGCAATCTGCACTTGCCCTTCCTTTCACTCGGCGCTTTAGGTCCTGGACTTGTTCCATGCGTCCCGGCACGGTCGCCTCGACGATGTCCGTGCGCTGCTGTCGGATGGCGTCTGCATGAACCAAGTTGATGACGTACACCGTGCCACATCATTGCGATTGAGTGCTCATCCATCATTGTAGCACGGCAACACACTGGTCCATCTGGCGCTACTGGGCGGCCACGACGCTCTTCTTGCCTTCGTTTTGGACCACGATGGTGTCGAAACGACGGCTCCCAACAAGGTCCTCCGTTGCCTTCTTCTTCCCGTGTGAAATGTGTTTCGTTTTTAGTTTGCCGAATGCCCGATGAGTATCGCAGTCAAGTCGACCAACCAAGCTGGTATCGACCGACTTTTGCCGGTCCAAGCCATCACTGTTGCCGAGGTACTTTCATTGCACTAGAAACATATTGGGTCTTGACTACTTCGCATCAGGTGGCTGCACGCTCGTTGGCAAAGCTACAAATAGTTGGCCTTGGCGGCTCCAGTATCGTCTTCAAGGACACGCACTGTGGCCAAGACGTAGCCGTCAAGGTGCATGGAAACGCCTATTCAAGCGCTGCGATCATTCGAGAGGAGATCCAAGTCCTCAAAGAGTAAGCTGGCTGTTGCTACTGATTGAATTCAGCTCATTTAGCACTAAAATAGCAACCCGTCGCCGTACATTGTGCGGCTGCTCGCCACGGCAGACGCGGAATCGAACGCGCCGCAGCTCATCTTCGAGTACATGGACGGCGGCAGACTCACTTCGTACCTCGAGAAGCTAGCGAGAGACGAACCGGTACCCGTGGTATACGCTCCCATTGAGATTCTCTGGGTCGTCGCCAATGCTCTTCGCGACCTCCACGCCAAGAACGTCGTTCATCGCGACATCAAGACCGACAACATCCTCCTCTCGTCCAAGCACTACATTAAAGTGGCAGACCTCGGTGCCGCCAAGAAAGAGTCCAACGACATGACAACGGGTGTTGGCACGAACAAGTGGCGAGCGCCCGAAGTCCTCACGTATGGAAGCGGCTACGGCACGCCCGCCGACATTTACTCGTTCGGGATTCTCCTCCAGTCACTGTCCCCTAACCCTACCGATGCGAGTACCGAGTGGGCCCAAGCCCTCGCAGCGGACTGCACGGCGATCGATCCAACGCACCGCCCGACGGCGGCCAAGCTTGTTGAAATCCTGCGGCTACAAATGCGGTACCTATCGAGTAGAGTGAGAGATGACGATGTATGTCCACGCGTAGGCGTTCGCAGCTGGTGGTGTCGTTGCCAGCGTTCTTGCATGACCAAAAGGTTCGAATCTCGTTGCACGTATCTCGTCCTGTATACTTGCAATAGGTTGGTCCTCCAGCCATCGACGTCATCCCCATCAACCCAACTGTGGTGGTCCGGGTATTGTCTGCTGAAATCGCACACAATAGTGCACGTCACTTTCTCGCCTAGAAGCTCGGCCCCTCGCCGTCAACTATCCAGGTAGCGAGTCCACCGAGGCATTCCCTTCTCAAAAGCGTGTATAGAGGATGCCAGAACGTTTTCTCAGGGCTATTCAAAGGCGGAACGTCGTCGAGGTGGTCGACCTTCTCGACAACAGTGGCGTGGACCCCAACTGTGCTTCCGCGGTTCGTCAACTTCTTCTCAGTCAGCTGCTTATGTTGCATCTGACAGACGGGCGAGACGGGTCTTATCACAGCCACGTGCCTGGGTCACTGCGACATTGTCAGCGTCCTGTTGGCACGCGGGGCCAACGTGAACGCAGCTCAAATCGTACGTATTCCACGTGTGCGGCATCCGAGTCTGTTCGTGTTGTAGGCTCGCATGACAGCGCTGCACGCCGCTGCGCAGCGAAACAACTGCAAGATTATGCAGATGCTTCTTGCAGCCAACACCGCCAACGTCGAAGTCCGTGACAGCGTACGCAAGTCGACTCTTTGGCGTCGCAAATCATTCTTGTTGCGTTAGTATGGCCACACGCCGTTGCATCTCGCCATCAAAAATAACAGCAAGGAGGCCCTCGACGTACTTTTGCACGCCAATGCCAACGTCAACGCAGTGACCAACGTAAGCTCGTCTGTCTACGACGGCGTAGGTCATCACGACCTTGATAGGACAAGGACACGCCACTGCACTATGCGACAAATTCTAAACTTGATGCGGTCGTCGCGCAGCTCATTGCCCATGGCGCCAACGTCAATGGCCGCAACAATGTACTTTTGGTCTTGAGGAGAGATTTTGTCATGCAGCCCATTGTTTTCTAGGTTAGCATCACACCACTGTATACCGCGCTAGTCAATTTCGACGAGCCTTCGGTCACGAGTCTCGTCCAATCGGGGGCTGATCTCCACGATGTGAAAGTACAATACCCTATCTAATTTCCCGCCACCTAACGGCACCTTGCAAAACTAGGACAACGAGAGTGCGCTTCAAGTCGCTTGTCGCAAACGCTTTGTGGCTGCAGTACCCATTTTACTGACGCATGGCGCCGACGTCAATACCAAGCATGTGCGTTGTGGTTGGCGATACGTCTCGAAAGACTCCACCATGTGTTGTAGAACGGGCTATCTCCTCTGTGGGACGCCATCATGCGCAACTGCTCTGATCTTGCCGCCGCTCTCCTCACGTCGTCCGAGATCAACATCAACGAGCAGGACGAGGTTGGTGGTGCGTTGCTCTCCAAATGTGACTCAGTTCTAACTTGTAGCTTGGCAACTCGCTTTTGCACCTGGCTGTCAGCAAGCACAACACAACCATTGCTCGCTTGCTTGTCGGTGCCAAAGTCGACGTCGATGTCGTCGACGCGGTATTAACGCCACAATGTACTGTTGCTGCGCTCACATCAAACTGGATAGAGTGGTCATCGAGCCATCGAGCGAGCATTGGCGCTAGGAAACCAAACCATGTACGAGCTCTTGCTTCCGGCGTCCGACCACGTATACAATCAATCTTTGTCTTGATTCGCATCCTGAATCTCACGAGCTTGTAGAGCAATCAGCTACTCGCTGCCGCACAAGCGCAGGCGCTAGGGTCTTTGAAAGCGCTGCTCCGACTTCCTTTCAACGCGAACGTGTGGAACGAGGTGCCAGCTCGTACCGCATGCCCGTCCCTTTTCCGATTTTTTGTCTGTTTAGATCGGATGCTCTATTGTGCATTTAGCAGTGGAGGCCAACAACGAAGCCATGCTGAACGTACTCCTCTCGCTGCATCCTAGCCAAAATGGCGGACCCATGCAGGTATAACAGATCGTTGCTCCTCTGTGTTGCTATCCAGTGTGCGCAGACCCTTGTCGAGAATGCAGTCAGTGATCGACGGCGTGTTCGCCCAGCGAGCCGCTGGAACGCCGTCTCTGCGTGCGTTTCTTGCATTCTTCTCGCAACATACACCCCATGTATGCTTGACCTAGGTTTTCGTCGTCATTCGTCATCGATGTCATTGCAACCGAAGCTCCAGACGTTGTCATCGTCGAGCCCACCGACGGTCGCAGCCTGCGCGAGGCTCTCGTCACCATGTCGTTGAGTGTCCGACCCGTGTGGCCATCGCCCAAGTTGCACGTTGCCATCGCGATGGCTCGGGCCCTTGCCGATCTGCATGCCGCTGGCCTTTTCCACGGGTCGCTTTCAAGCCACAGCGTCTTTCTTGGCGTCGAACGTCGCGTCAAGGTCGGTGTGCCGGGAACGTCCGACCCCAATCTGTCGACGCTGCCGTGGACCGCCCCCGAACGACTTGGCATGTTTGCGCCGTGCACGCCGGAGGCTGACATTTATGCGCTCGGCGTCATTTTGACCGAGCTCGACACGCTACGTGCACCGTTCGAGGAAGAGAATTGGAACGACGCGCAGCTCATGACGGCGGTGGGCCTTCATGGACGTCGCCCACAACTCTCGGATGCCTGCGACCCGCGGTATGTGACCTTGGTCGACCAGTGTCTAGCCCGAGATACGACCCGTCGCCCGACGGCTACAGCCATTGTGGCTACATTGTCCATGCTGCAAACGCCCGATGACACTCTCGTTGTGGCCCGTGCCCGAGCACCCTGCCTGTCTCTTGAGACACGCAACTACGTACGACAAGCATGCTTCTCGCCGACAATATTGCCGTGGCCACTATATTTTGGATGGTGTAGGAGGGCAAGACGCCGCTGGCCATGGCGATCGAGCGCGGCTACTCTTCCATGGTTGCCAAGCTCTTTGATCGCGTGCACCGAGCTGCGGTCGAGGTAGTCGTCACAATATCCCTGTTAGTACGCCGCAATTATGTCATGTGGTCGTAGATTTCGGAAGACGGGTACGCAATGACCACGACAGAGCTCGGTGTTGGCGGCTCTGGTGTCGTCCTCCTTGGCTCGTACTGCGGTCAAAACGTTGCGGTCAAGCGGTTCCGAAGTGCAAAGTACTACTCATCGATCGAGCCCGAAGCCGACGCACTTGTCGCGTACGTTCGTTCTCGAGTATTGACCAAGTGCTCATCCATTCGAGTAGGTGTCCGTCCCCATTCCTCGTGCGGCTAGTGGCCATCGCAGGTCGCCACTCGGAGACGCCAGCACTTCTCTTCGAGTACATGGATGGCGGTCGTCTTCAGACGCACCTCGAGAAGAAGCGCATGAACGAGCGCACGTCGGTGCACGTGACCAACCTCCACGTGGCCTGGGTCATCGCCAACGCCTTGCGAGATCTGCACGCCAAGAAGTTTGTGCACCGCGACATCAAGAGCGACAACGTCCTTCTGAGCTTAAGCGGCGAGATCAAGCTCGCCGACCTCGGCATGGCGCGACCTGAGGCAACGGAAATGACCGAAGCGGCAGGTACCCGGTTCTGGATGGCGCCCGAGATCCTGCAAGCGCATGGCACGACGTACGGTCGACCCGCCGACATTTACGCGTTTGGCGTCCTCCTCACGGAGCTGAACACGTGTCAACTGCCGTACTTTGACCAGGACGTTCAAGATCGAATTGCGTTTAACCGCGGTGTCATCAACGGCACTCTTCGCCCGACGTTGACGACCGAGTGCGAGCCATGGCTGCGCACGCTGGTGGAGATGTGTCTGCTTGGAGATCCGGCACTGCGGCCAACAGCCAACCAGATTGTCGAAATGCTTCAAATCGAGCAAGTGGCTGCAGCAGCGAGCATGGGCGTACTCAATAGACTGAGGAAATTGACGACTTATTGCGTCCTAAACGCTAGGTGACCGAGGCGTGTATGCGCGTCGTGGCAAGGGACGACGTCGTCGCATTGACGCAGCTGCTCGAAAACAGTGTATCGCTGGAGACGACGCTCTCCGTATCCTCCTTCTCTTTGCAAGAAGAATAGGCTCATGGTCATATAGAACGGTGCGTTGCTGCTTCTGGTAGCGACAACGGCTCGGGCCACCGGAACAATGCAACTCCTCCTTGATCACATCGTCGACGTCAACGCCATGCGCGTACTTGACGGACTCCAAATTTGAGGAAATCTCAGCCGGTGCGTAGGGTGGACGAGCGCCGCTGCACGAAGCTGCTTCTAAATCTTTGGACACGGTGCTGTCCATGCTCATCGATGCGGGGGCGAATGTCAACGCACGCGACAACGTACTACGTCGAGGGCTAGATCTTCGCACTCATGTAGACCCATGTAGACGGGCAGGACGCCTTTAGAGCGGGCTATCAACGCACGTGCAACGGCGTGCATCAAGCTACTTTTAGTGGCTGGGGCCGACGTACACGCTCCCACCACGGCAGGTGCCCTCTTTCCGGCTCTCGGCTCAGTGTACCGCGTGTGTAGGGCGGGAGAACGCTACTTGAAATGGCGCAGCAGGACAAGGTCCTTGCCGCCGACGTTGTGCTGCGAATGCTCGAATTCGCTGCGTCTCGGGTATGCTTCGTTGCATCTCGCATCTGCATTATGCGACTGTGTAGTCGAAGGATGCGGTGACACCCGAAATCGTTTGTGTCGTTTGTGGCGACTCGCATCCCGTCGAGGCTACGTGCAGCAACTGTGGCCATGATGCATCGACAACGGACCGAATGACCGCCGTCGTCCGGCAGTTGATACGGCTGCATTACTCTGGCTACCCCGTCCACTGGATGCGCACGTGCATTTCGTGCTTCGAAAAGAGCATGACGATCGTCGACGCGCTCTGCCCAACGTGCACACATCCGCAACAAGAAGGAAAGGAGCTCAAGCTGCTGCACTTGCGCCTCAAGATAGCTCTACGATCTGCAGCAACAAATGGGGTAAGACAGCGTAGAGCCATCGTCAACCGTCGACGTGTCTTGTAGTCTGCGCGTGATGTGCCTGCAGTCCCGCGTAGCGTCCTGCGCTGGCTAGCGCGCTAATGGCCACCATGTTACGACCAAGGCTGCGGTCGATTATCGATACCACTCAAGTACAGGTGCGCGCAGGCCTAGCCACAAGAACGATATGATCCCAGAATCATTGCGTCAAATGTAGTACACAGTTCCGTCAGTGATGATTCCTGTCGCGTTGTCTGATCGCGACGGCCCAAGTTAAGCTCGTGTTTATGGAGACATGCTGTGGTCAAGCTTCGTGGTTCACAGCATCAGCGTGCCCAGAGGGTTCAAGCCAAATGTCGAGTTTCTGGGCGCAGTGACTGGAATGGATATTGGATTCTATGAAGCACCTCGTCGCACTGAATTAGGATACGAAGTGAACGCAGGTCGTCTCCCGTTCCTCACGTGCGTTGAGCGCTCGGTGCATCGCGGCCACGACGGCCGGGCAAGCTTGCATGCTTTCGCGAAAATCTTGCCCAACGCATTGTATGACGTGGCACCCCCACTGGTCACATACGTGGCGTCGCGCTAATAAAAAGGCATGTATCGGTCGCCCTTCTTGGGGCTGTTGCAGTAGGGCTGATGGGGCAACATCGCATGTATATAGCCAATCACCCCATGCTGTCCAGAGGTCCGTCACTGTCAACAGACTCAAACCAGGGCTACATGTAATACCGGTATCTCCAAGCAGATTTGCTGTTTTTGACACGGCCTGTGGCTAAATTCACCGCACTCGAGTGGATGCCGTCGCCACGGTGCACGCGTTTACCTTGGATGGTGCAAGAGGCAACGTCCAGCCACGTGCATTGCCTTGACCAACGCTGTTTCTATCACCATGCACGGCCATGGCTCGCACGCGACCGACAATCATGGTCGGCTCGGTCTCCGCCGATTCTGAAAAACGTTGCGTGTTTGTAGCCGTATGCTACCGCACCCACATGGTACCGTATCCGGTCGCACTATCCGGCGCCTCCCGGAGCTAATCTTTTGATTTCATCGATTGGGATTCTTGTGGTTGCTACCAAGGACGACTGGATGATGCAGGGCCCATCGGCCACTGCGGACTTCCATTTCCCATTGGCAGGAAGAAGATCGGCACTGCGTATCTCTTGCCCATAGTTTTACGTCTCATCAATCAACTCACACTTTGCTTTTTCCTCTTCTCGACCACCTTGCCTACACTGCGCAGTGCGCGCAGCTCCGCGAGCGTCAATAGGAATTGCCATGTGTGCAGCCTATGCCTCGATGATGGGCGCTCACGCCTGGCTTGTTTCAGAAAGAGACCGCCAAGGCGAAGAACGCCAGATAACCGCCGCATGTTGCATGTACAGTCAGTATTACCTGTGCACTGCACACGTGATACTGACTAAGACCATCACTCATCGTCTGGGACCGATACGTCAGCATTACACCGTGGGATAGAGTGTCCATGGTGCTTCGTCCATCATTCATTTTCGTTTTGCATGGGTACCGACAAGAGAAAGTACGCGCACCGTTTGCGCACGTTGGCGCGCGAGGCCGCGATGCCGCAGTGCTGTCTGTACAAGCCTGCCGACGAGCGCACCCCGACAGCGACCATTGACGGCATCGAGATGGCTTCACAGCCTCTCTCGCCCAATACCTTGACGGCGCTCACGACCAAGTACGCTGGCCGCGTCCCGACCGACGACGTCATCCTCCGCGATGTCTACGCCACCGCCGACTACGTGGAGGATTCCTGCCTCCTCGGGCGACTCGGCATTGGGCATGCGTGCAACGAGTACGGCCTCATGTTCGAGATGACGCTGGCGCATTTTGCAATCGACTTGACCGGCGACGCATCGACGTTGACGCCAACAACGGAGCCACCGCCCCATACCTTTGCGACGGTCGTGTACTTTTTTCCATCCACCTGCGTCGGCGGCGCCGTCACGATCGCACACGGCCACCGAACAACGACGTTCGAGGCGCTCGACGGGTGTTTTCTCTCGTTCTACAGCACGTGTGACGTGACGGTCGCGCCCATCACGTCCGGACACCGGTCTTTCGCCGTGTACTACGCCGCGTACATCTTGGACGACTATGACTCGGACCATAGCTACGGGCCCACGCCCAAGTTTGCGCCGCCGCCACTGCCGTCGATCCAAGAGCTCCAGAGTGCTGCTCACCACTTTGATCCTCAAGACTACAATGGCGTCGCGATCGGGCTCGAGACGCGCAGCTTGACGCCGACGTTTGATTCGCTCACGGGGCATGACAAGGCGGTCGTCGACCGGCTACTCGCAGCCGACGTCTTTGACATTGCACTTGTGCGGGCGGGCGACAACGGCAACAACAAAGACATTCTGTCGCTGCCGGAGTCGTTTCATCCGCTATGTGAGACCCCGGCGTTCGTCCAAGAGGTCTACCACCAGACGCCAATCCACGAGGTTGCCGCCGACCTCGACAAGATCAAGTCGCCCGGCTGCTGTCTGCTCGTGTGGCCCAAGGCGAATCGCGTGCGCATGTTGGGTTACAACCGCACGGTTGGGCTCTTGCGCGCCAATGTGGACGGTGACGTCGTCGACGACCTCGGCTACAGGTCGCTCCACAGCATCTTTGAAGCGGCTTTTCGCTTCTTCTATCCGCAGCCCCGAAACATGGACGTTCACGACCAGTGGGCCGACGACGAGACCATGGCCAACTGGATTGTCACGGTGCTTCGACGCTTTGGCGCGGCCCGTTTCCAGCACCGACTCCGAAAGGCCGACGTCTCGATCTCTTTTGTGGCTCAATTGGTGCATCTCGCGACGGCCGGCGACAAGCTCGCGCAGACGATCGCATGCGACTGCATCCCAGTGTGGTGGCCTAGCTTGCTGTACCAGCTCTCGGCGACCGACTGCGCTGGGAAGAAGAAAGGGCTGTGTTATGTGTTTGACATTGAAACGTACCTGCTCGAGCACCCGATTCACGTGGCGGCGTCGACGCTCCTCCGCGGTCGGCACTTGCCCGATGTTCTCGTGCGCAAGGTAGCGGCGTATCTCACGCCGCCGCTCGCGTCGCTGCTGGAGACTGTCCGAACTGACAAGTGCCTCATGAGCAGCCTTCCGGCCGTCGTGTGGTCGCGGCAAGACTCGCTGTGTAGCGAGCGCCTCGCAAAGTGCATTGATTTCGCTGTCGAGTATCTGCGCTCGGGCGCCGAGCGCGCTAGCTGCTACAAGGGTCACGTGCTGTATCTGGCGCTGCTGACAGCCGGGACACCAGCCTTTGCCGACGTCGACGCCGACATGCAAACGTGGCGACACTGCTTTGATTGCAAGGGCGAGTGCACTGGCGTCGACAAGAGGTCATCGTCGACGGCGATGGACATGCCCTTCTTGGAAGAGTACATGCGCGAAGACGACGAAGAGATTTGAATAAGAGCGTCGTGTCTTCTGCACAACACCACCCTATGGAATCTCTAATAACATGCAAGTGCCGGACGTAGTCTTACAATGAGACGGGCATGTCGCGTCGCGATATGCATTTTACAACAAAAATACCAAATCGGCCAACCCCTTGGAGCAACTCGCCGCCCCGCATCCTGTTGGAAATACTAGTACCTGCTCTGGTACCGGCGAAACACCCTTTTCGCCCTGGACACTCTTATCGCGCACCACTCGTGGATGAGTCTCCTCTCTATAATGCTATAGGCATGTATTGCAAGGTTCGATACGTCGTTGGTCGGGACGCGGCCAGCGTACTTGGTCGTCACAGTGCCGGGCGAGAGAGGCCCCGAAGCACTCTCGATGCCGTCAAATGCATCCACTTTTGACTCGTCCGGTAGGCGACATCTCGGCCGAAGTGACGTGATGGGTGTCACAAAAGACCTGTTGCTGCAAATGACGGTCGTTCAACTTCGCACAATGAATTGTTGATGTAACCCAAACCTTCACTTTGGCAGCGCTACGCAGTGGGACTGTGGGACCGATATCCAAGAGTACATGTGCCAGGGGCAGGCGACACGTCGAGTCGGGTGACGGTACCAGAGCACGGTACGAAAGTGATGGTCGGGGTACCTGCGATGGTGTTCTCCTCGCATTAGCTTGTTTGAATGAGTGACGACGATGGCGAGGCCGCGTACCATTTACGCACGTTGGCGCGCGAGGCTGCGATGCCGCAGTGCTGTCTGTACAAGCCTGCCGACGAGCGCAACCCGACGGCGACCATTGACGGCATCGAGATGGCTTCACAGCCTCTCTCGCCCAATACCTTGACGGCGCTCACGACCAAGTACGCTGGCCGCGTCCCGACCGACGACGTCATCCTCCGCGATGTCTACGCCACCGCCGACTACGTGGAGGATTCCTGCCTCCTCGGGCGACTCGGCATTGGGCATGCGTGCAACGAGTACGGCCTCATGTTCGACATGACGCTGGCGCATTTTGCAATCGACTTGACCGGCGACGCATCGACGTTGACGCCAACAACCCAACCGCCTCCCCACACCTTTGCGACGGTCGTGTACTTTTTTCCGTCCACCTGCGTCGGCGGCGCCGTCACGATCGCACACGGCCACCGAACAACGACGTTCGAGGCGCTCGACGGGTGTTTTCTCTCGTTCTACAGCACGTGTGACGTGGCCGTCGCGCCCATCACGTCCGGACACCGGTCTTTCGCCGTGTACTACGCCGCGTACATCTTGGACGACTATGACTCGGACCATAGCTACGGGCCCACGCCCAAGTTTGCGCCGCCGCCACTGCCGTCGATCCAAGAGCTCCAGAGTGCTGCTCACCACTTCGATCCTCAAGGCTACCATGGCGTCGCGATCGGGCTCGAGACGCGCAGCTTGATGCCGACGTTTGATACGCTCATGGGGCATGACAAGGCGGTCGTCGACCGGCTACTCGCAGCCGACGTCTTTGACATTGCACTTGTGCGGGCGGGCGACAACGGCAACAGCAAAGACATTCTGTTGCTACCGGGGACGTTTCATCCGCTATGCAAGACCCCAGCACTCGTCCAAGAGGTCTACCACCAGACGCCAATCCACGAGGTTGCCGCCGACATCAACAAGATCAAGTCGCCCGGCTGCTGTCTGCTCGTGTGGCCCAAGGCGAATCGCGTGCGCATGTTGGGTTACGACCGCACGGTTGGGCTCTTGCGCGCCAATGTGGACGGTGACGTCGTCGACGACCTCGGCTACGGGTCGCTCCACAGCATCTTTGAAGCGGCTTTTCGCTTCTTCTACCCGCGTCCGTGGATCAACTATACCGGGAATCCCGAACAAACCACACTTGCGATGGCGTCCTTGCTCTACGACCACGGCGACCTGCGACTCATTGAGACGTTCTTGGACGTTCACGACTCCTGGGCCGACGATGCGACCATGGTGTCTTGGCTCCTCGCGGTGCTTCGACGGTTTGGCGCGTCTCGCATCGAGTACAAACTACGAACGGCCGACGTCTCGATCTCTTTTGTGGCTCAATTGGTGTCTCTTGCGACGGCTGGCGACAAGCTCGCGCAGACGATCGCATGCGACTGCATCCCGGTGTGGTGGCCTCGCATGATGCACCACCTCACCCACGGCTACTGTGCCAAGAAGGACGAACTGGGCCATTTGTTTGACATTGAGATGTACATGCTCGCGCAACCGATGTGCATGGCTGCATCGACGCACCTCCGTCAGCACTTGCCTGATGTTCTCGTGCGCAAGGTGGCGACGTACCTCGCGCCGCCGCTCACGTCGCTGCTGGACACGGCCCAAGTCCACAAGTGCCTCATTAGCAGCCTTCTGGCCGTTGTGTGGTCGCGGCGCAAATCGCTGCGCAGCGGGCGCCTCGCCATGTATGTTGCACTCGCCGTCAAGCGTTTGCGCTCGGGGGCTGAACGCGCCAACTGCTGCAATGGCCATGCGCTGTATCTGGCGCTGCAGACGGTCGGGACGCCAGCGTTTGCCACAGCCGACGCGGACGTACAAACGCGCCGGTGGGGCCATAAATTCAAAGACGAGTGCGCTGGCATCGACAAGTCGTCGCTGACGGCGATGCAGCTGCTCGTCTTGGACAAGTACATCCGCGAAGACGACGAACCGTGTTTTAACAGGTAGCGTGCGGTTTGAGCGACTAATTTGTATCTTTGTATTGAACGCGACGTGTTGACTGTTTGCGGCGACCGCTGCCGTCGTCGCGCGCTTCTGCAATCGCACGTGATCCAAGTGGTGTGAATATCCGTATCGTCCATACTACTTCATCGGAATTGAGAACTTAATGGCGAGCGGAATGTACGATGCGCCCTGTCGAGCGAGTCCCGCCGCGACCGCGGTCGGAAGAGAGCAAGTCTTTAGAGACTCTTCACCTCGCATAAAGTCCAACGGTGGCTCGAAGACGTAAGCAGCAATCTGGCGCACGAGGACGTTTGACAAGTGACGGTGCAAGAGCGCAGACACCGCCATCTCTGTTAGGCGCGCGAGCATGATCGTCATCATAGCCAGTAAATGACCCAGCGCATCGCGCGTAATCTGAGGTTCTTGGCGTGGTGCAGCATGCGAGGCCGCCACAGCAGGATGCAATGCGAGCCTGTCACCGGCGCATGCGAGAGAGATCAAATGCACAACGAAAGCACTCGAGACGTCGGCCGTTTGGAGTCGGTCCTCAATACGAGATGTGCACGATATTAAATTTAGCATGGAACCTGACACCTAAACTATCGCAATGGACGCCAGCTGTTTGGAACTGACACTGTGAAATGTGTGGTCGCCCATGCCTGGTAGTTAAAACGATCGTCGCTTGCATTTTTTCGACAAAGAACCACCAAGACGACATCGTCGACCACTGCACGAAGTCGCACCTTTGCAGCTCTTGATAAACAGACCATGTACCTTGCACACGCCCGTCAGCAGAAGACCATCACGCAAGCACGCAGACCGGCTCTGTGACATCTGGCATTACACTGTTTGTGGGCATGGCGTGGACAAGTACCGGTACTGTTCTTGAGGGTACAGGCCAAGTGATAAACGGTGCTGCGTGGTACCGCCAGCTCCTTGGACCAGCTCGATCGACGCAAAAGGTACCATATATCCCAGTCTTCCAACCCCAATATACGCAGTTTTGAAGCGGGTGGAATTGCCCATATTTGCAATCTTCTGTGGGGACATGCGACACGTAGAATCGGGCGACGGTACCAGAGTGATGGTCTGGGTTCGTGCAATCGCGCTCTCTTCACATTTGCGTTTTCCATGAGCGACGACGACGGTGACGACGCGTACCATTTGCGCACGTTTGCGCGTGACGTGGCGGTGCCGCAGTGCTGTCTGTACAAGCCGACCGTCGAGCGCAACCCGACGGCGAAGCTCGGAAGTATCGTCGTGCCCTCGTGGCCGCTGTCGACCGAGACGCTCGCGGCGCTGTCGACCAGATTCGCTGGCCGCGTCCCAGCCAAGGACGTAGTCTTCCGCGGCTTCCACACGATACCCAGGCATGCGTTCCTGTTTGAATCCTCCATCCTCGGCCAACTCGACCCGGAGCAAGACGAGGACGATGATAAGCTCGAGTTCAGCATGACGCTGGCGCATTTCGCGATCGATTTGACCGGCGACGCATCGACGTTGACGCCAACAACCCAACCGCCTCCCCATACCTTTGCGACGGTCGTGTACTTTTTTCCGTCAACCTGCGTCGGCGGCGCCGTCACGATCGCACACGGCCACCGGACGACGACGTTCGAGGCGCTCGACGGGTGCTTTCTCTCGTTCTACAGCACGTGTGACGTGGCCGTCGCGCCCATCACGTCCGAACACCGGTCTTTCGCCGTGTACTACGCCGCGTACATCCTGGACGACTACGACTCGGACTATAGCTACGGGCCCACGCCCAAGTTTGCGCCGCCGCCACTGCCGTCGATCCAAGAGCTCCAGGCCGCCGCTCGCGGCTACGATCGTTATAACGCCATTGCGGTCACGATCCGGCTCGAGACGCGCAGCTTGATGCCGACGTTTGATACGCTCATGGGGCATGACAAGGCGGTCGTCGACCAGCTACTCGCAGCCGACGTCTTTGACATTGCACTTGTGCGGGCGGGCGACAACGACGAGAACAATGGCATTCCGGCGCTACCGGAGACGTTTCATCCGCTATGCAAGACCCCGGCGCTCGTCCAAGAGGTCTACCACCAGACGCCAATCCACGAGGTTGCCGCCGACCTCGACAAGTACGAGTCGTCCAGCTGCTTCCTTCTCGTGTGGCCCGTGGCAAATCGCGTGCGCATTTTGGGCTACGACCGCACGATCACGCTCTTGCGCGCCGACTTGGACGGTGACGTCGTTGACGACCTCGGCTACGGGTCGCTCCGCGGCATCTTTGAAGCCGCCTTTCGTTGCTTCTATCCGCAGCCCCGAAACAACAACTATGGCATCAACCCACCGCAAGGCACGTACGCGATGGCATCCTTACTCTACGACCATGGAGACGTGGGGCTCATTGAGATGTTCCTGGACGTTCACGATCATTGGGCCGACGACGAAAACATGGCGCATTGGCTCCTCGCGGTGCTCCGACGCTTTGGCGCGTCTATTTTCCAACATCGACTCCAAACGGTCAAGGTCTCAAATGCTTTTGTGGCTCAATTGGTGCATCTCGCGACCGCCGGCGACAGACTCGCGCAGACGATCGCATGCGACTGCATTCCGCTGTGGTGGCCTCGCTTGCTGAACAAACTCACGGCGGGCTACTGTTCCGAGAAGAAGAAAGGGCTGTGTTATGTGTTTGACATTGAATCGTACCTGCTCGAGCACCCGATTCACGCGGCGGCGTCGACGCACCTCCGTCAGCACTTGCCCGATGTTCTCGTGCGCAAGGTAGCGGCGTATCTCACGCCGCCGCTCACGTCGCTTCTGGAGACTGTCCGAACTGACAAGTGTCTCGTTCACAACCTCCCGGCCGTCCTTTGGCCACGGCGCAACGCTCTGTGCAGCGTGCGCCTCACCACGTGCATTGACGTCGCTGTCGAGTACATGCGCTCGGGCACCGAGCGCGCTCGATGCTACAACGGCCACGTACTCTATCTGGCGCTGCTGACCGCCGGGACACCAGCGTTCGCTGTCGTCGACGCCGACGCGCAGACGCGGCGACGTTGCTTTGATTTCAAAGGCGAGTGCGTGGCGCTGGACACGTCGACGTTGACGCCGATGCAAGCGCTCGTCTTGGAAGAGTACCTGCGACGTCCAACGTACGGGTGTGCGTAGAAGCTGTCGTATCGGGAAATCGCATGAGCCTTGTAATCTTGAAATATAAGGATGTAGTACATGATAGCTACTAGCGAGGAAAAAGTTATGGTCTCTGGCGACTCGTATGCATTTTATGACGTCCGAGCAAGCCGACGACATGGAGCCGACGGGGCAACGAGGCCATGACCACGTGTATGTGTCCGTGGAGCTAATAGACGTTGCCGAGTTGCCGGCCTTTGACATGCACGAGACACTCGAGTTCCAAGGCCTCGAATTCGAGACGCTGATTTTGCGCATACTAGGATGCTGATGGCATTGTCCTCTCTGGCAGAGCGGCTCCGGGCTCTATGTGGAGCGGATGAAGGCGCTGGACTCGTCCATGTTGGTCGGATGATCGGATCATTCGGATCTGGAGACGTCAATACAATCAACAATAAAGAAAGCCACGCGGTTGTTGAGCGTATTGTTGCTACCATTGTGGATATGTTGTTTGTAGGATACTCGAGGGAATTGAAAGACGCACGACACCTTGCTTCGACGTTTGCATCTCCAAGGGCCGTCCAAGTGCGCTGGCTGACAGCCGTAATACTGTAATCATACAAACAAGTCCCTTTAAGGTGCGTTTTAAACATTCGAACTTAATAAGAGAAACGCAAAATGGACGCGCTAAAATTCAACTGCAGCTATGCCGCTCAAAACCATTGACCAACATTCCTGCAGCGGGAGAAAGGTGCACAACTAACGGGTTTGCCATGAGTAAAGTAGTTTCTTTCTGCTATGAGGTCATCGTCTCGAGCTACTTGATCTTGCGCGCGACTCGCTGACGTCTTCCAACGATATTCCCGCACAGCCACACCGCGCCTCGGGTTGCCAAGGCCAATGGATGCACCGCCGAGCTCTCGTTGTACGCATTCGCGGGCGTGAACCAGGCGTGTGTTGCTTAGCCCCGCTAGGATGCAACCTGGAGCTGTAGCACCAAGCCAGATATGTCTTGATTCGCAGAATGTACACGCGTCGAGCGCTAGCAACATTGAACGAAGATTGACGATTTTGAAGTACTGTGGTCTGCAGCGATAATTGGAACGATAGGAGCGAGCTACTCCCTGAAGCAAGACGTTCCTGCCAACATTGCCGCCGCCCGCTTCTTTGCCGCTCCCGAGGGCGCCCCGTTTTTTAGGCCGCACCAAGATCACGTTGCCGATCGTCCTGCACCGCGACCTCCAGTCGTTGACACCGCCTCAGTCGCTGGCGTCTCTCGAGGACCTCAACATACTACGTAGCTTTGCCGCCGATCGCGAAGACTGGAAGGGATTTAAGGAGCTTGTCGTCATGGGCCACACCCGCGGCCGCAAGCGCCGCCGCCTGCGCTGCCACGGCCTGGCGAGTGAATGAAGAAGAAGGAGATTGCTAGTCTCTACGTATGCAAACTCTTTGTAACAACAAAGATAACGCGAAACACGTTTTTATATATAGGAGCGAGCTACGCTTACTGGAGCGACCGGGCGGGGTATGACGTCGTCCAACTCGACGATCTACTTGGACTCGATGGATATTGTACACGCACGTGTCATAGGGCGGGATGCCTCACCAGTGCTGGCGCGGCCTTGATGAGAAAAGATAAGCTTGATATGCCTGAATAGAATACACTTCACACTAAGACGACTACCCAGTACCGTCCGAGGTACGGGCACAATTAGGCGCTGCCATAATTACGAGAACGTGCGCTCGGATGTGAACCGGTATTTCTTGCGAGCATCCTGTGCGAGAAGTATGAGAATGAATATGTCGCCTTCGCATGATGCTCGAGTGGGGCCGTAGACGACTCGATTGACCGCTCGGCATTGGGAGTGGCGTGGCGGGTTGGAATCGACAAGGCCAAAGGCAAAATGACTAGCTAGCCTACTGTCGACTCATCGCGTCTATCTGGACCGCAAATTTCAATTTCCGGGCAGCGCCTGGATGTGCCACATTCCTGCCTCGGGCAAGGCCCAGTCGACGCAGTTAGAGTGCGGGCTGCTGTGCATGCCCTTTTTTATATGGAATATCAACGGTTGTAAAGCTAAAAATGTGCAAGGCAAGTACAGAGCTGCCTCCAACGAAGACTATTGTGATGCGCTGTGTTGTACTACTTGGAAAGACGCAAGCGCGTTTGCGTCGATGAGACGCAATGCAACGATTCTACACTGCCGCTATTCAAGCTACACGTGGATTTGCTTGCACACACGGCCTTTTGGCTAAGACGTGAGGGCATCTACAGTACTAGTATACTAGTATGCTGCGACGTCGGCAACAGCCTGATACCATCGAGGAGCTTTCCTTGGAATCCTTGGGAGGCCTTTCCCTATTATCCGGATCCAGGATGGCCGTGCCCAGATTCCATTGGTCGTGAACGCTGCTATCCGCAATAGCGTGCACGAATTGCCATGACCAAGTATGTACTTCTTTATGGAAATAGCCAAGCCAGGACTTTGTGTGGGAAATCTATTTATCACATCGTCCACACGGTGAAAACCACGCGCCAGCTGGTGATATTTTCTAAAATTTGTATCTTGTTTTGTGTATAGAAGGTGAAGATAACGCGGCGCGGATCAGCATTCGAATAAAAAAAAGTACGATAAAGTACGATTTTTTACGCACTTTATCGCGATTTTGGCGCACTAGAACGGGCCGCATCTAAAAAAGACACTTGAAAACAGCTGAAATCGTACCTAAAATTCAAGCACGCTGCCCCCCTACAGCAAGGGATCTGCACCATCCGTCTCGAAAAAACCACTCCGTGGTTTTTTCGTAGGGAGGGTGAAATCAGATTTAGTCCAATCATTCCTTCTCG